TTTGTCGAGCAAGATCACAATGGAAACATTCAGTTACAGTTACTTTATTACAATAGTACAAACAGTTAACGACAAAGAACGAGAGCATTGACGACTGAATTGCTACATTACCAGAGTTAGGGTCGTGAGTCGTGAGGTCGTGACAGAAATATGATATAACGATATCTTTTCCTTCTACTACACATTTACTACAGTGAGTAGTAGGTTTTCCACAAGTTCACAATTTTTAAATTTATGTGGGCCGATCCCGGCGGCACTGCAATGCCGGGCCGACCCGTGACGGGAGTGGAGCGAGCCCCGAACATCCCGTCGTTTTACAAAAATCAGTTTAATATACTGGTCCCGCAGTGCGGGAACTTTCAGATATTAAGCTGAAAAGAACAGATACTACACTTTGATCTTAGCCAAAAGGCCGAGAAGCGATACCGAAATTTAACCGACTGACGAGAGTGACTCAATCATAAAGCACCTCTTCATTGCAATCTACTCTTAATACACAAACTTTCAACGCCATCTATCCGTAACAAACGAAAAAGTTGGTATATCCAACCGGGATGTCCAAAATCGTATTCTTTTATTACTGTATTCCCCTTTTACATAAATATTGCCTTTACTGAGCCTTTTATTACAGAATCTAGTATATATTGTGTTTGTGTGTGTCTATATCGTTATTTAAGTTATAAAACCTTGTCTTAAACTTCCTTCAATTGATGTGCCAACATTCAGGCCTTTAGAAATTAATTCTGGTATATCATTTTCGATGCCCACGATACAGGCATTGCCTAGTGTGGGCATCACTAGATTAATCGCATTTTATCCACTATTTGTATTTATCTTTTAATTGGTTATAACTTTTATTGTTAATTGTTAATCTGTTATTTTTCAATAAATTATTTCTTTTTCATAACTCACTATTCTTTATACGAACTAAATTTTCGTTCCTTTATGCACTTTCCATCTTTTTTTATTAACATTATTATGTTTTTGTTCGTAAAACACTGCTATACCTTTCTCTCAAAAAAAAAACAGAATCACAATTTATCAACTCAGGTAAACCTACTACTGTAATATGCTCTGGCTTGGTTAATGTTTTTTTTCTGTACATCATTTTTTGATTAAAGTACCAGTAATTTTTTTTATTATAATTTCTTTAATGTTTACGATATCTATGTCATGAATTTAACAATTACAATAGATATTTTGTTATGAACTTGTTAACGAATGTTACAATAAATGATATAATTAACAAAATGGTTTTATTCTTATGACACAAATTCGTACAGTTAAGTTTTTATTTTTTAATTTAACTGCAAATATAGGAACTAGACTTGTAGTACATTATACATTGTCGTAGCTATATTTAATAGGTATAAATCTTGCTAACTCTCTCACCCTGCGGAAGTATCAAAGTTTATTTTGTCACTATTAGGATTAGGACTATAACCTATAAATAGGATATCGTCTAATCTACAGGAGTATAAAAGGGGACGGCGCGTACGCAGTCCCCACTATCAAAAATTACGCGTCCGAGTTATCCACATAAGGGATAATCACAGGGGTCAACCCAACCGCAGTGCAATGGAGAGGTCTCGTCCTGGGGTAACCGCCTTTGTGATCACGGTAGCCCCTACGCCAGGTAAGTATGATTAGTGAATAAAGCCCAACTCGAGTATTTCGTTTTCATTGAATTTCAACATCGCGATGTAAATCGTGGGGCATTGGACGTGGGCAGGCAACATCTATCTTCCATTTAAATGTTTGATTAGAATAACATTAAACAGCTTAATACTACCACGCAGTTCTTAATGATATTTTGTTTTTATTCGGTACATTAATATCAATATTTATTGAAATGTTTAAAAAAAATGTGTTTGAACCAAAGACGTTTAAAAAATATTTTTGTGAATTTCTGGTTTTAAATAAATTTCAAAACTATGGAACAGATTTGCCTGTTATATGTGTTACATTAATATATTTTCTACCTGAGCGAAGACTTAGCGGTTTGTCGAGCAAGATCACAATGAAAATATTCAGTTACAGTTACTTTATTACAATAGTACAAACAGTTAACGACAAAGAACGAGAGCATTGGTGACTGAATTGCTATATTGCCAGAGTTAGGGTCGTGACAGAAATATGATATAAAGACATCTTTTCCTTCTGCTACACATTTACTACAGTAAGTAGAAGGTTTTCTATCAGTTGACAAGTTTTAAATTTATGTGGGCCGATCCCGGCGGCACTGCAATGCCGGGCCGACCCGTGACGAGAGTGGAGCGAGCCCCGAACATCCCGTCGTTTTACAAAAATCAGTTTAATATACTGGTCCCGCAGTGCGGGAACTTTCAGATATTAAGCTGAAAAGAACAGATACTACACTTTGATCTTAGCCAAAAGGCCGAGAAGCGATACCGAAATTTAGCCGACTGACGAGAGTGACTCAATCATAAAGCATCTCTTCATTGCAATCTACTCTTAATACATAAACCTTCAACGCCATCTATCGGTAACAAGCGAAAAAGTTGGTATATCCGTAAAATCGTATTCTTTTATTACTGTATTCCCCTTATACGTAAATATTGCCTTCGCCGAGCCTTTTAAATTGCATGTATATTGTTTTTTTTTTTGTAAATCGATTGATTTTTAATGTTTAATAATCATACATTGATAAAGTCATCATCGTCATCGTCAAAGAAAGTTTACAGGATAATAAGTATACACTTTTTTTTTCAATACAGAATTATTAAGTGTCCTACGAGAAAAAAAATTGAATCTATGCTTTTTTGATTGCGAAACTGGGGAACTGCTAAGTGTAATTGAAACAAAATTAATTTTAAAACAAATTTATTACTATAAAGTAAATTAATTTTAAATAAGAAAAAGCAATAATAACAAATTATAATTTATTTGTAAAAGTATTTGCTAATTGAATATAAAATAAATACAATGGAATGATTGACTAGAATTATTTTCAACATCTTTGGTACTTATCACAAGAATTAATATAAAATTATATAATTCTACAACTTCCACTATTCAACGTTTGTATTAAAAATATTATTTCATAGAGTACAAGAGAAGTCAATGATTCAACACAAATGTTATGACAATGAAAACGAACATATAAAAGAATAGTATATTGCATGCCAGCTACTGGTGTATGTACATTGCTACATACATGCCAGTAAAAAGTTTACGAGTACTTTAGCGACGAATCTTAAGTGTCAAGTTTCCTCCTGAACATACATGCCCGAGGCTGTCACAAAAAACATCGTGTTAACTTCTTAATGACAGTCACTGGCATGATATCGTTAACGAATACTTGCATATGGCTAGTGCTAGTAGCTTGCATACAAATGGGCCCACTATTTCACTGGACTGGTTTTAAATCTGCCAGAGCTTCTTTGACAAGTTGTTCCAATTCCAATGGCAAAATTGTTTTTGACACATGTCCGTCACCTCCGCCGTCGGGATAATTGTCACCAAAACTGTTCTCATTGTCACATGTCCCATAATCTTCCTCGCTATCAGAATATGTATTCTGAATTTTCACATTGGAATCTTCTATATTTTTTTTCGTTTCATCAGATTTAACAGATGATGTGTCAGGCAGAAATTCTTCTAGAAGCATCTGTGTTGGGAATATTGGTATACACTTTTGACCGTTACACCAACTTTCTAATGTTTTCTCCAATTCATTTATTCTATTTGCTAAAATCCTGAAAACGCAAAAACTTTTGTTTCAATATATTTCTTGTGTCCTGAAAACTCTCGGTTAATATTACATTTTATTTAGTTAATATCGTATTATATTCGTAAGTTAAATTTATTGAATATTAATATAGACAAATAAAATAAAAATAAAAAAAATTATATTGCTTGGTTTTTTCCACTTTCTATACAAAAAGTTAGTGTAATATTTGCAATATTGCGAAGAAATGTAAATTATTTCTGGCTTTAACAAGATACATACTGATTAGTCTTTCTTTGGTGTTGTAAAGCAATGGATTTATCATTCAATGCTTCAAATAATCCCAAACATAGTGACTTTAGTTCCGCAGCTGAACTTCTTTTCAGACCAGTTTTGGAATTATTATCCAAATATTCCCTCACTGAAATTAACCAATTAACTAGTTAATATTATTACAACTTTTGTATTAACACGCAATTAATATAGTAACCGAAAAATAATTATTTCTATTTGGACCTTGTTTTTGTGTCATGACATCTGCAAATCCTTTTTTTATATTGACCGTATCTCCTCTAGTTCTGTTGTCAAGCAATGTCTGGAACAACAAATTATATTATATTCAATATTATATTATTTACATTACTCTTAAACACTGGAAGAGGGAACACACAAAAAGGAATATTTCTTCTTTCAACATATTTTTTAGTTTATTTATTACATACAAGCATATAAATCTTTCCTCTTTATAATCATACTAATATTATAAATGCGAAAGTTTAAATGGATGGATTGATGGTTGGATATTTGTGAGAGTTTGTAGCCAAAACAACTAAACGGATTTTAATAAAATTTGGTATAGATGTAGAGGATAATCTAGAAGAACACATAAGCTACTCATAACTGTTTTTTTTAATTTCACGCGGACGGAGTCGCGGGCGTAAGCTAGTATTAGTATAAATCGAAAGAATTTATTGAAAACAACAATGTACAGATGATAATCAGACAGGAAACTGATGTTAAACTATAATTAGGATGAGCGGATGGGACAGAGATTATTTATTTTATAGTATTTCTGTACACACAAATAGATAAAATGATACAAAAATTCAAATATGAGAAACATGCCGTAGTCGAAGTGACAGCTGCCGATAGACATCCGCAATTTCAGATGAGTTGTCTACCCTTTATCGACGGAGAAGCAGACACGCAAAAAGAGGATATTTCCCCTTCCCATGCGTTTCCTCAGCCGTCAAAACCACGTTCCCCTTGTCATCATGTCTGCCTTCTGTATGGTCGTGGTATTATAGTAGGTGAGACGGCCCTACAGTATACAGATGTTAATGCGGGCTCTATCACTAAAATATTTAACATACCTTGTATTTAGTCAGAGTTCTTTTAACGATTTCTTTCTCAACTTGCAATTGCGTAATTCTTTCGTGTAAATATTTATTTTCTGTAATTAAGGCATCTATGTCAACAAAGGGCTTCGGCTGATCAACCTCCGGTTGTTGAACATTCTGTTTATTTGTAACGAAATAACTTATTTGATGATTCAATCGTTGTACTTTGTTTTTATAATAATCCCTATCAGCAACTAGTTCCTCTTTTTCATCCAATGTTGTCCGATAATCTAAATGTAGTTGTTGATACTATAAAAGAAAATATTTTGATTATGTGTTTGATTTCTTGATTACATCGAAAAAGGGTAACTTGGGTGTCAACTTTTCTAGTAAAAACTAAAAAAGTTTGTATGGTATAATGTAATATTAAGACACCTTCAATGATTTATTAGAAACTGTTAAGGAATTAAATGCAAAATATATTTACTTTATTTTGTATTCTTTCTAAGTTCTGCACCAATTGTTCATAATCATTTTGTTGTGAACTTTGTATCACTTTTTTGTTAGGATCATTCTCGTCCAATAGGGGTCCCTTTTGCAGTTGTCTCCTTAAAGCCAAAATATCACCATTGGCTTCATCTAACTTGCTGCGTAATGTCTCTACCTGAAAGGAGAAAAAAAATGCAAAATTATTATTATTCACTAGCTTTCGCCCGCGACTCCATCCGCGAGGAATTAAAAAAAAGTAAATAGCCTATCTCTTCCACCAGTCCATCTTCTACATCTATGCTAAATTTCATTGAGAGAAACATCTATCCATAAATGGAATAAATAGTATCCTATGTACGGATATTGAACCAATTTTCAGCCATATCAGTAAAGCCATTCTTGAGTTATAAACAGTGTAACTAACACAACTTTCTTTTATATATATAGATTATGAATCAAAAAAACAATGATCAAACAATACACATAAAATGTTCTACACTTGTGAACTGCAGTCAATATTATGTTTTCAACTATGATAATTAAACATGATTATTAAATACCTCTAGTTTAAGCATATTATTATGGTCTCTAGTTCTTGCTAGAATTTCTCCTCCACTAATAGTGTTTGTTTGCGTGAACCTGTAGTTATTATCCTGAACACATATAGATACACTCTTCTTGCATTGGAGTTGCTCAACTAAGATTTTGTATCTATCCCGTTCCATACTGCATTTGTCAAGTTCCTTGCTCATAATACCCAAAGCATCAACTTTACTTTGTAATTTGCTTTTCAATACTGAATTCTACAATATTCAACATTATTTGTATTAATTAGGAGAAAGTGTAACAAGCATATTAAAAGTTTAAAATTTTTTAAAAACATTATTTCAACAAAAATTACCTCAAGCACATAGTCATCTAGTTGTTGGTCTTGAAATTGCACCTTGGATTTACTAAACATTTTAATAATGTTTAATCGCAAAGATTATTTAAAGCGTATTTGAATCTTAAGTATGCATAATTTGTGTTTTGTTTTCTTAAACCTGGAAATGTGATTAATAATTAATATTACATTCATTCCATTGTTATAAAATTACACATTTTCCAAAATTATCTATATAATGACTACTCAAAAAGAAACTCATACTTTCGTAAAATAAAATATTTATGAGCACTGATAACTGATAAGCACTTAATCATTTGACAGTGACATTAAGTGACAACTTAAACTTACCTACTTAAAAAAAAACTGAATTCGTCGCATGCATATTTATAATTATTTGAGTAAACTGGTTAAAAATTGGACAAACAGTGTAAAGAATAGTTAAAGTTATTAATAAAACTATAGTATCAATGAAATACAAGAAAACAATGAAATCGATTCACACATCGGTTTGAACCTTTTTTTATTTCTATTGGCAATGACCAAAGACAACCAAATACCAATGAGCCAATCACAATCACCAGTCACCAACAGTGTCAACAATAGTGATGGGACTCGAGTGATTTTTTTTCACTCGAGTCACTCGGTACTCGTAACTTTCTCACTCGAATGCCACTCGAGTGATGATAAGACTCGAGTGATGGTTATAGACGTGAGTCACTCGAAATATAAAAATCAAGGAACCAAAATTTTAAAACCAATAAAACAATGTTAATTTAACATAAAGAAATTATTTTCGCATTAACGTAAAAGTTACTCAAAAAATCTGTACAAAATGTGTAAAAATAGTGTTTTCCTTTAAACTAAACCTGTCTACATAATCAAGAAACCTCTTATATCATCTATGAGTTGAAATTTTATAGTGTACTATAAATAAGTTCTAAACCATTTTAATAAATTCTTACAAGTAATTTTCATGAGATCCAAATATGGACAGTTTGATTATGTTCTTACACAATTTTGCTAATAAAATTAACATAAACGAAGCTTAAATAAACTCTACAAAAGAACAGAAATAGTGCGTTTTTAAAAAGATAACAAATTTAACTGAAAATGCTGTAAAAATTTCTTACTCCGCTTAGTATAAACCAACAAAATGGTTACGAGTCCCGCGTAATTCGAGTCAACTCGAGTCACTCGCAACTCGGGTTGTCAAAAATTTCACTCGAGTCCGAGTAAGAAAAAAATGACTCGAGTCACTCGAGTGAAAAGCAACTCGAGTCTCATCACTAGTCAACAACTTGTCAATTCACGACTCGAGTAAGTGTTACGGTGTTTGCTTGCACTTAACTTAGGAGTTTTGTAAATTTTGTCGCAGATGTTCAACAGATTTTCTCCACGTTTTAATTTTACGACCTGTTTCAATGCCATGTTCTGCGGTCACGATCGTAGGGGTAGGTTTTGTTCATCCTAACGTTTGGTTACAATGGCTGCGTCAGGTACCGAAATTGAAGACTTCTTAAACGGACCTTTAGTTTCATGGGTAAGTGCACAATGATAGTAATTATAAAGTAGAAGTAGAATGAACCGTGGGATAATTTTGTCGGATCGTTCCAAATGATTGAACGTGTGTTTTGCATTTATAATTGAATTTCACTATGAATATTTTTCAATGGACTACATCGTATTAAATGCTGAACACCTTTCAATGTTGATGTTGTTCTATATTTTGATACATAGAGGTTATAAAATACTTGATTAAAACTCAGTAAATGCTATTATTTTGCACAAAAGTTGTTCATAATGTTGACATTCATAACTTTATCTAAAACTGATTTCTTAACTATGATAATATTGCATTATAAGACAAGCTATGTTATTGTTAAATTTAAAAATAATAACTTGAGAGAAGACATTGTTTTTAATGGCAAAACATTATTGTTAATCATTGCCAAGATGTTATAAAGTACATTTCTATCAAAAATTGTTTAAAAAGCTATTTTAGTTACATTTGATTTTGAAAAGTAATAAAATATTTACATGAATATTAAAATTATTTTCAGCTGAAGTCATGCCTTACAAATCCAGAGATAGTCAAAGATTATGCATCTCTTTTCAATGGAGATATCTTGCATCAAGTTTATCTCCAAATAGATCCAGAACCTTCTTTTCATATAACAAAGCTAGCTGGCTTGGAAGACCAGGCATTGATCCTGGGTAGGGTGAAGAACTTTGATGCTATTATTAAGAATGTCAAAAGTTTATATGATGAAGAATTGGGTATGACATTACTAGTTGTCCCGGAGTGCATATGCCTAGGAAAAGCACCTGAATCAAGAGATGGTTTAGAGAATATGAAGCTCCTTTTACTGCTATTACTTGGTGCTGCGGTACAATGTCCAAATAAAGAAATATTCATTACCAGAATAAAGGAATTAGATGTGGACTTGCAGCACAATATTGTAGAATGTATTAAACAGGTATGGACAGGTATTTAAATATTATGCCTTAAGCTCAACCTTTGGCCATTTGAATTTAGAAATAAAACAAAAGCTAGTAGCCTATCTAATCTTCCAGACTATGCTCTACATTTATACCAAATATTATTTACATTTAGCTATATAGGATGTAGCTTCTAACAAACATCTATAAACATTTGCATTTGAGATACATTATGATGTACCATACATATGTCTCTCTTTGGATTGTTTCCTCACTCCTGAGGGTTCCAACCACTATCCTTGACAATCTCTCTAAGCATGTTTCCATATATTTGTCTACCAAATCTTTAGTATTTAAAATTGTTTTAAGGCAATTAAATAGTGTTTTCACATATTTTAAAATCATATGAAAACATTTGTCTCATTTTCAAAATTGATGTAATTGCTAAATACTAAAATTTATCTTAAAGATTTGATGTCAACATTTTATTGGAATTTGTTCAGTTGTGACCTTTTAGTTTAAATGTGGCTATTTTTGTTATTTTTTTTAACTAGCACTTATCATTGAAGACATATTTAAATGCTGTTTTAGTATTCTGCCGTAAACTATAGATTTCATATGAGTAATATTCTTTATGTAACACATATTTTGAATAGTTAATTTAATATGTCAATGAAGTAAATGGATAATGGAGTTAGAAATAATTGGCATTCAAGAAATATCACCATATATAATGTCATCAGGATGAGTGGTATACCACAATATTACAATAAACAATAGATTACATAATACAGATTTTTTAAATTGATTATAAGTTAAATGAAATCTGGAAGTATGAATAATTTTGTGTATTTAATTTTTTTTTAATTTGATAATTATCGATTTTTCATTATTTAACATACCCAACCAGAGGGGGTAACCTAGTATAGGGATGCCGATGGCGGTGTCGATAACAGAGGGTCTATTATGAAAATATGCGTGAAAGTTGCGAGAACGTATTTGTAAAATTTGTATTAGATTTAGGTGTTCCTAACGCCTAGTATGGGCAATTCAAAAATGAAATAAAATTTTTGCCAATGATGTTACAAAAACATTCTCACGAATATACGTGAAAATTCCTCAGTAAACGTATGGTGGTGCGTGAGACATAACTGTGACCCGCATAACAAACTACACAAGCGTATCGTGTAGATACTATTACAAACACACGTCTTATTAGAATACGCTCGAATGTAACGGCGTCTTTACGCATCCAAAAATGTATTTAGATAAGTTTTATAAATGGTCTTGCTGGTACTAAACCTTGAAATAATTAGGTATACATACGTCTAGTTATCATAACCGTGGGTTTTACAGCCGGAAATCCTACATAAAAGCAAAATGTCATTCTTATTCTTAAAAAAAAATCGTGTATGTTTCGGCAGTGGAATCCGACGTTTATTGAAATTGGTGAACCGAATATTCCGATTCGTTCGGATGTTTACCTATGGTCGCTTTTCTTTCAGCGATTCACAGCTCATTTGTCTTTTCAAATTTAGTGCAAAAATAAATACGTGACATTGTTTTTTTAATAGAAGTGCTACGATATTAAAGAAATTATATCGACACTTGATACAATCGCAACTGAGGAGCGTGCATGCGTTAATATGTGAATGTGGAAAAAGCGAGGGAAGTATGTCATGATTGTGTCAGGAAATGTGATATTTGTTTATCTATTTGAACCTGTGTACAAAGTAAACAACAAGTAACATTTACTTTTATTAGAAAAGGTCAAATTGTCACTTTTAAATCTAAAACATTGTCAACTTTTATTTTTCGGAGCATAAATGGGAGATTTGCCCAAACCACATTAAATTGTCAAGGCTTGGCGAAACTATAAAAAATGTTATACAAACATGTTATGAAAGGATTGCATATTTTTTCCTAATTTACATACAAGTGCCAAGTGTCAAAGTGTTTAAATATACAACTTATCATTTATTTCTAGGTAACAGACATGCAAACCGTAGTTTTAACACCAGACGCAATCGATCTCTTCCAATCACCGACGATGTTTAATCACATGCGAAGATTGGCCAAGGAAAGGGACCACTACCTTCAGAATTGGGCCACATTGGTACTCAATGAGGGCCTTTGTGAGACCGAAGGTGATAACAAAAGCAGCAAGAATCCATCGACACAAAACATTAATCAAAATAACAGTGAAAGCCAACATTTAGCCGTTGAGCTTGCAGATTGGAAAGCACGTCTGCGAAAACAGAGACAAGAATTGTAAGTCAACAAAGGTTTTTACTTTGTAAAAATATATCTCATCGATAAAATGCACGTAAAAATTGAGTTTCATTTCAGGGAAGAAAAATCGGAACAATTATCCGAATGTCGCGAAGAATTAGAACATACGAAGTTATTGTTGACCAAGCTACGGTCGGACAGCCAGGAATGGTTCAACGAGGCGAGGAAAGCAGCGGGATACAGGGATGAAGTTGATGCGTTACGGGAAAAGGCCGAACGATGTGAGAGGTGTGCACAACTATTGGTATAAAGTACATAATAATTATTGTAACTATCACATACTAGGTTTATTGTACTATACGAAATTATATAATTAATGTGAAATGGAACTTTAATTCAATAAATTTTAGGTTGGAGCAAGAAATACAAAGGTACCGAGATCGTCTCGCTGATGCAGAATACTACAAGACGCGTGTGGCGGAGCTTCGTGAGGATAACAAGGCGTTGATGGACTCCAGAGATGTGCTGGAGGAACAGCTCCAGCGCGCTAGAAAGAGGGCTGAGCAATGTCTGACACTAGAAGCGGCTATGATCAAACTGAAACGAGAAGCAAACGACATTGCTTTGGTAAGTAAATGTTAACATTACTTTAGGTATCATTGTTAACTTGATGTTGACTTCACTTACATAAATTTTGGTTAAAGGAAAGGGATGCCGATCAACAAAGAATACAGGAACTGATTGAAGAAAATAACCATTTACAATATATCGCGAGATCAATGCTAAGTGAAAGCAACAACAGCAACCTAGACACGGACAATGAATGCGAGAGCACAATAGAATCTGGTGAAAATAGTCTATCTGAACAATTAACTAGTAACGCACAAGCTAGAGCTTTAAAATTAGAATTAGAAAATAAGAGACTTCTTTCGACTATTGATAATTTAAGAGAACAGTCCATACTCGATGGTAGTGACAAGGTTTTAGATTTAGAAAAGGAAAAGAAACGGTTAACGTTAAAATGCGAACAACTTCAAGAAAATTGTAACAGGCTCATGCAACAGAATTCTGAACTAGAAGAAGTATTCAAAAATGCATTAGAGGAAAATAGAAAGTTACAAGATTCATTAGACAACAAAAAAGCCTATATTGATAGACAGTCCATAGATAGAGAATCGGAGAAGAACAAATTACAAGATTTTGAAAAACATTTGGAGTCTTTAACAAAAGACAAACAGAGAATTCAAATGTTGTGTGATTCGATACAAAAGCGAGCTGATGATTTGGAAAAATCATTAGATACTAGGACTAAAGAACTAAATAGCGTTAAGCCCGAAGCCGATAAAGCGATGCGACTGTTAATTCAAACTGAAGAACTTAAGACAAAATTAACATACAGTGAAAAGGAAGCTCATAACCTACAAAGGGAAGTTAATAAATTAAAAGAGGCTGTAGAAGAGAAAGACGTGATCATTGATAAAATAAGTACAGATATAGAATTGAAGAATAAAGAAATCGAAAGAATAACACGAGAACTTGACGCAAGCCAGTCGATGGCAACCAGGCTTCAAGACTTGGAACAAAAAACACAAGAACTAAAATCTCACAAGAAAGTAGACTCTGAAACAATTCAAACTCTTCAAAGGGATTTGATTACAGAAAAAGTCAACTGTGACAAGTTCATCAACTGTTTTGAGAAACTGGGAATCAGTGCTTCGGAGATAATGTCAAAAGATATTAATGTGGAGGAATTACTAGAAAAAATTATCACGAATGCAGATAATGGTGGTTTAATACTTGATATTGCTTCCAAAGCTAATATGACTAATTTAGTCCCCCATTATTGTAATCATGAAAAGAATCATGGTCCCGATCCTCAAACTGAGCAACTCCTGGCGACTATACAAGCTGGTCTCGATCACTACCAGGCAGAAAATGCTAAATTAGAAGTCAATGTTGCCACACTCAATTCACAAAATGGCTCTCTAATATCTCAACAGATGACTTTACAACTAGCAAACAGCCAATTAGCTGCAGAGAAAGAAGAAATATTGAAACAACTTGAAGTGTTAAAAGACAAACAAGACAATCTCTTAAGAGATCAAGTAGCGTTACAAACTCTTCATGAACAGTTAAATACAGAATATGAAATGTTGTTAAGTGAAAAAGAGTCAGTCAAGATTGCCATGAGAGACTTGAAACTCGAAAACCGAGAGTTAAAAGAGAAAATAGTCAATTTCGAAAAAAAGGCAGCTGAAGTTGAAATGGAAAGAGAAAACTTGAAAAAGGAGTCGAGGAATTTAACTAATTTGAGAACAGAGCATTCTAAACTAAAGGATGATTTTAGAAATCTATTTACAGTTAGTGGCAGATTAAAAAATGAATACAAAAACATGCAGGATGAATATAGAAAGATGCGAAGTGATGTTACGCAACTTAAATTAAAAAACACGGAGCTGTCGGGTGAAATTAATACAAAAGCTGAAATTATAACTAGTATGGAATTAGAAATAAGCAAAACTAACCAACATTGTGAAATGCTCATTCAGATGAATAAAAGCTTAGACGCGGACAGACGATCTCTGATGGACCACGTGTCGCAACTTTTGACACAATATCATGAATTGTTAGCACATTCTTTAAAAGACAAACAGCATTACCATGAAGAGGAGAAAATGTTTGCTGACAAAGTTAACGCTCTGTGTCGACAGAAAGAAAAACTGGAAGAAAAAATTATGGAACATTATAAAAAGCTTGATAATTGTACCCCCAAACGACGTGGTTTCGGAGCATCCTTTGTTAAAAGAGTGAGAAAAGCCGGAACCGATTTAATTAACAAAGTACCTTCGCGAAACAATAAGAGGATAGAAGATGAAAATCGATCAAAGTCTCAACTGACGCTAGCCGGTTCCGAATCCGGCGAATCGGACCCCGGCAGCCACGACTTCGATAAATCATCTAAAATTTGCGAACAAGAGCAAGCTTCCTCGACTCTAAGCACAGAATCGCCTAGACATAGTTCCGATTCGGGTTACAGAAGATGCGATGAGATATTTAAAAAACCTGACAATATGGAAGGTTCAGTGTGTAGTCTCGATCCGAGTAGGTTGACTGGGAACGAAGGAAACTTTACTCGGCGGCTTTCAACTGCGTCAGTGCACAGCGGTGGCGGCGGCGACGACGCTTTGATCAGAGCTTCCTTGCGAAGGAGGCCCCACAAGGCGGTGCCGCCCACACATAGGAATAGCTATCAAGGGTTAGAGGGGGATACCGGCTTACCTACAGGTTAGCATCTTTTTTTAAATATCTAATATAAATTTATACATATAACTTATGATAATATTATCTACGAGCGATCGCTGGCAAACTTCATGAATGTGTAATTAAAAAAAGGTTGTCAATAATATGCCCATTCATGTCAGCTACGTTACAGGGGAAGTCTGATATAAATCGTACAAATAAATTTTGTTTTAATTTGGTTTTCGCTATCAGTTACGCAAATACATCTTATTTGTTATGTTATTTTTTTCGATATAACATACTCTAAATTTATTTACTATCTCTTTGTTATTTTCCGAAACCTCTGGACTAATTGACGGGACGTATGAACGCGGAAACATTATAGTCTAATTTTTTAAACCGCTATGACGAAGTAGCGAACGATTTGTACATTAAATATTTGTTCCCTCAGCATCCACACCTTCACCAGTGTTCGGGACGGCCGGGTCACGGCGCACCGTGTACTTGGCAGATGATAACCCCGATGTTACTCTTAACTCCAAACCTCAGAGCACACCTATAAAAGAAAATCCAACATACTTGATCTACAACAGAATATCAACTGTTATCGGGGAGGGTGCTTGTCAAACTGGTCAAGACAGATCTGGCAGTGACAACCAACAGACTGATATCCCCAGAACTACTGCTGGTGAAGATTCACAGGAGCAAGATCAAGAGAGAATAAATCGTGAGAAACCAGAAAACTCAAAGGAATCAGCTATTTGGTATGAATATGGTTGTGTTTGATTGTAGACTGACAATGCCTTTGTGGCCTTTACAATTATCACCCTACATTATAAAGATAACGATCGAATATAAATAATATTTAATAATTTTGATGACAATATGACAGTATTAGTTAGGCATTTATTTACAAATTGATTTTTTTTTTCCAGACAATTTGTATTGAGATTACAGTTAAAATAATTTGAGGCTTATTTAGTTTTACTTCTGTATATATTTCTATACAAAATGTAATGTTTATTGTATTCTTAAAACTTCGACCACAGACCAGAGTTCTGATATATATTATGATTTGTAAAATAAATGATAACAAATGTAATCTTCCCTTTTAAGATATGAAGTTTGTACCGAACTGTACTTAATCAATAGTAGTAAGTCTAATACTTTTGTGTGATTATTGTATTATTTAATGAATATTATTAAAGTTAACATTAATGTTTTATAAAATTAACATTTAACATGCATTTGCTTACAGTTATACTAGAAACCGGGCACAAACTATATTTAAATTGAAATAATATGTTTTGTCCGTCTGTACTTACCTAAATGTTATAGATTTAATGTTAAAACTGCCAATTATTCAATTGAATAGACTCTAAAATACCCACCTACAAAATACAATCTTTTTTTTACATATACTAATATTATATTACAAAAAGGAAAGATTTGTATTTTTGAATGTATTGAAAGGACTCGATAACTACTGGGCCCATTTTAAAAATTCTTTCACTATTGAAAAGCTATGTTAGCACCGAGTATCATAGGCTGTTATTTATAATTTCACGCGGGCAAAGCCGCGAGCAACAGCTAGTTCTTTATATTTTGCAAAGCATACTGTTCAAAATTCATTAATATTAAAACTTTATTATAATTTTAAACCAGTGATTACAATTTTAAATCAAATTTCTATAATTATTTTATGTAAGTTGGATTTGTCAAAAAACACTTCTCCACCAATCGTATAAAATTCTATAGGCTTTCCTTTTCAGTCATATAGCATTCTTTGATACATTTTTATATTCTTTAACAATAGAAATCCTTTGTGTCGTCTTTTTACTGACATGACATTAATTTTTTATCATATAAATTTGATTTATTTAAGCATAATTTCGTTATGACGAGCATTTTATTTGGCGTAGTACAAATATGTATTTTTAAATATTTTTTTATAAGATTAAGTTTTAGATATAAGGTTATTTACATTTAAACATGGGTTTGTATAGACCCTGCATACACTATATCAGTCATATTACAGGGCCGTTTTGTACTGAAAAGTGGTCTTATTTTAGACATGTATCTAGATGCTTCCATTGTCTTAGATATATTATCTATAGATGATTTTTTCATACAAGTTTGACCTTTTAATCGGGAGTCGATTTTCATGTGTTTTTATATTGAAACACAATATACTTCAAGGAAAAGCTTTGTAAGCTATTTTCGATTCTCTTGTGCTCTGGATCAGCTATCTATAGATTATATATCTATGCATATTAAAATGGTTAAAATTAATAAACTGCACAGGAACAAAGTTAATGTAATTATTGACTATCTTAAAAGACTGGCATTCTGACACTTGAGCATGTTTCGTTTAGTTAAGCTTTCTTTTCTCTTTAGTATGGATAAATGTAATTTATCATTGAAAGAGTGGAAAGTATCTGTTGTGATTTGTTAGATTGTGATATTGGTCTTGTCGATGAATTAAATGATATTATTGTAACTGTGTATGACAATTAGGACAGTAATTTTATCATTATTTGTGTAAGTAAATTTCCACTCCATTAGGAAACTCTTTCACATGAACAGTGCCTTATTATTTTCCGTGTTTCTAGAATATGTTAGGAAAGAAAAGGTGGTGTTATTTTAGGTGCTTTAAAAAATTAGGTTTGTTTACTAGTGAACTATTTCTTTGCTTGTGCATATTTATGTTCAATAGAAGAAAATACGTACTTACAAAAAGCCTCACCGAATTAAACGATTGTATTAGCACTTTATACAATAAATATAAAATACCTTAAAAATCTCTTTTAATTTTTATCTTCTGTAAATTTTCAAAATAGTCAAGAAACTGCATGATTGTGTGTATTTTATTGTTTAGTAATATATTTAGCAAATATTAGATACATAGTTTATCTTACAAAAAAATAAAATGCATATGCAATTTGTCAATATGTATTATAACCTATTAAACAATATTTTACATATAAACTGTAATACAAAACTTTGAGATCTATTCTGAAATTATAAAAAAAAAATACTGTTGACTTAGTTTTTCTAGCAAAATCAATAGTTTCCAATTATCTTAAAAATTAATGAGATCCATTTAGATTGACTTCAGTCTTGATTTCCCATTGCAGCACTGGATTTGGCTGCAAGGTTACTTTGAAAGGAACTCCCGAAACAACAGCCTTGTAACCTGACTCCACTTTTGGGGGTAGATAGGAAATTACACACTGAAAATTGAAATTTTACTTAAATAATCATTAAAACAAGTAAAACCAAAAACATTTATTTAATAAATGATACCTTTGGCTTACTAGATTCCGTAGACATATATCCTATGCACATTGTTTTCGTAGTATGTCCCCACAATAATTCACCTTCTCCTACTTGAGGATTAAATGTTAATGCTAAAGATCCACCAAATCTTTCCTGCACATCCCATAAAAAAGGGGACTCCAGAAAATTTTCCTTCAAACATTTGTCTAAGCCTATAACTGGTGAAGGTCCTAAAAGACTTTCTGCTGTATTCTTTGCTAATTGTGTTCTTATCAGATGTTCTCCACAGCCGGAAGTGCAGGCAGCTACTGAAGGTTTTATGCCATCTCTGCTTATCATTGCCCACACACCACTACCAAAAGAAGCAGCTTGGCCGACTCTACCTTCATGCTTTAATGACACACCCCCTGAACTCGCACCGGCCGCAACAATTCCATTAGAATCAACGCAAATTGCTCCTACAGTATCAAGTGGGCTAAATTTTATGTCGTTTTGTAAAGAATATTTTTTTAATTTCCGCTTACAGTGTTTATAGTTGCGGAAAGCTCGCGCTGAGATCATTTTTTTATTGTCAACAATTTCCAATCCCATCCTTTCTGCCCAAGTCTTGGCTCCTTGTCCTGTAAGAATACATGGTGGTACTCGACCTAAAGACAAGCTTTCACATTGTCTGAGACATAAATGTTTTGCCAATGTAATGGGGTTCCAAACATTCGAGACGGCACCACATGCACCAAAGTGCAGTGTCTGGCCATTCATTATGGAAGCATCACATTCCACTGAGCCTTCCCAACTTAAGTTTGATCCATAACCGGCATTTGTCAATGAGCTATTCTCTAATTCTGAAAAATATATTAATTGAGATAGAGATTTCATTGTCTATTCACATTTATGTATTTTAGTATGAAGCATATGTAAAACTTATTAATGGCTTTTTTTAATTGTATTTTAACATATATATGCTGTTGGTGTGATGTCTTAATCTTACTATTAATAAACTTGTGCTTGCACCTGTGATTATGTCTATGGATGTTTGTTAGAGTTTGTAGCCTAAATTGCTGAATGGGTCTTGATGAAATTTGGCATAGATATAGAAGACCATGGATGGCTTCTTTTTTTTTTTAATTCCATGTTTACAGTCACAGGTGACAGCAAGTAAATTAATAAACATAAAAACCCAAGTGTTTTAATGATATGTGTAGAAAATTACAATAGTACTTCTGAATAGCTTTTATAATAAGTGGTTTTGTAGATTTTACAGTACGTTTTGGACAGTTTCTTTATTATATATTTATAATATTAGTACAATCAATATTATCTGCAAACATTAAACATACCAATTATTGCTTTTTCAACAGCATCAACTGCATTTCCGCCAGCTTTCAGTGCATGCACAGCTTTCCTACAAGCCGCATAGCAAGTTTTCTGGTATTCTTTCTTTAATAAATCACTATGATAACCTGCCCCTAAAAACAATGTATGTAATAGAGATCCAATATACAGAATGAACTAACTACAACGTACGTCTTAGGTTTCTTTTTTAGGTCTATGTTATAGCGAAAAGTCTTCAGCTAAGGCTAAGGAAAATAATAAATAGATAAATGTCAACCATTTGGTATCAATGCTTACCACAGTGAACTGCTATGAAACCATTCATTGCTTCATTAAAAGACTCAGTTATAAATGTTATTATTGTATCTCGATTACAACACTATAAGGAATTTCCGAATATACAGAAAATATTACTTTATAGCAAAAGAGCAACTCATTTCTACTTTGGTGCAGTTTTTTTATTATTATTATTTTAAGTCTCTTTGGCAGTTAACTGACAGAACAGATTGACAACCACTGTGAATTTAACCCTCCTCACCCTCTTTTTTTATGCAAATCGTTTGATAATCGTTTTGATAATCGAGGGTGATTGAGAGAAAAGAACTTTCGTTTGAGAGTTTCTCACACAAATGCTTCCGAGTTTTAGTTAAAATGAACTAAAACACTTCAAAAACATCACGAAATCAAAAAAGACTCCGCCATTAATGCCAGAGCCGGGATGTCATATGGTATGGGGTTGTCAGTTTAGGTGTCCGAATTTCAAACAAATAAAAGAAAACCTTTACGCCAATCGCAAAGTTTTTGTATTAATAAGGTTTTGCCCATAGCAACATATAATATTGCTTTAACATGTCGGTAATAAGTTATTACTAATATTTAGAAACATTTTAAAAGTAAAAATTTCCACTACATTGTTACGTCAATTGCCTATTTTTCTACAAACAACGAAAGCATAGACGTCTGGCACCTCTAAATCACTGTTAGAAAGGAAAATATCGTACACTTGTAGCCCTCTCACTCGGTTTCAATTTCATTTTGCGTCTAACAAGACTTACGCCGTTAACATAAGGATTTATTTTCTTTATTTTAACTGCAAGATGTACAGACAGAATACACTCCTGTTGTACGTAGTACTTACTACCTCCATGGTTTTGGCTTCTTCATTTACAAAACAATTGTAAAAAAATATTTGTTCTTTAGGTCTCATTCTAAGCTACAACCAACAATATGCCCGAAGAATCTAAGGTAATGCATGCATATGATACAAATTAACATATTGTTCTTAGAGTAAAAATAAATGTGCAGTTTCCCAGAAGATTTCACCTCAACAATTCATATGGTTAAAAGAAGTGAAACAAATAATTTCATTGAATTTAATAACAGTTTTATGATTTTTCCTTTTTACAAGCTATATTGGTATTACTAATGACATTGTGTCTAGGTCCATTTGATGTCTTTACAAAAATAAAACAAGTAACATCATATCATACTCTGTTGAAAAGTAAGAAAAAACATGTTTGTACTTCTTATGCTAACACATATCTATTTAAATTGTTAGGTATTTACAAGTTCAAAAATATCTTTACTTACAGAAATTTTAATAATGTAACTTACTCTTGTTGAATTACAGTTTTCAAAATCAACTTGCTTAGATGGGATAAACAGAAGAGTGGTTTTAATATGCATATTTCTATTTTTATTTACTATTAATAAGTTTATCAAAAATAAATAATCAAGTTATTTTTTTTAAAACTTTATCTGTAAAAATTAATATTGTTTATTGTTTACTAGAATTTTTCTTAAATTATCGACTACATGAAGCGTTTTGAGCGAACTATTTGAGTGATTTCCCAGCAGTTAGCATAACACCAACAACAAGAGCAGTAATTGTAAATCCTTGTGCAACAATTCGCATTCGCATCATCTGTTGTGATAATTTTGTTCTTCCTGTCCTGAAACACCACAGACCATAGGACAATGCACCAGCAGTAGCAAGACAACCTGAAAAATTACATAATAATTATTCTTTAAAAATATTGGCAAAATTGTGCAAAACAAAATAGTGTATAAAACATGGAATATACAGTTTGGGAAAGTATGCTTGATAGAAAAGCATATAAATATAAAAGTATACCTATGGGAACAAATGGGTTTTCTCCAAACTTTCGAACAAACTTCTCTTTAAATGTTTCTATTTGGTGAGATTGTCCCATATCTCGCCGTAGTTGAATCCAGTCTAAATCTGTCGGTTCTTCATTATCCTTCGACATTTTTGGTTAAGAATATTGTTACAATATAGAAAAATCAAACTAATTCACATTTATAGTGAAGTTGGGATAAATAATAAATTTTCCAAAGAAAAGTATTCGGTAAATCTAATTTAATATGAATGCAAATGTCAGTGTCATATCACCAGCTGTTTGACAGTTGTCACGAATATTTGATGGTGTCTTGTTTTTTGTGTAATTCTGTTTCTATGGTTCATTTAAACTAAGACCAGTAAATAAATTACTCTACCTAGGCCCAGACTGAAGTAAAGTCTTTGCGACAAAAAAAAATTGCAGTCAAAATACTTAACCCATTCGCACCACGACAACAAAGTGGAAAAAAATGTACAACAATGGTAACACTGAAAACTTTGTTTGTTTATGAATGTAAAAAAATCTCTTCTGTTCCTGTTTTCCTTGTTTGTGTGGTGATCCAAAAATTGTTTTACGATGCTTGTTCAATACATATCATCTAAACATATTGCTATTGTAAGTTCTCCTACTGTTTATATTGATTATTGAATATTTATCTGATGTCTGACCACTTGGCATAGTATCAAAACTTTGAGCACCCAAAAATATGTTCTACATAACTAATTGTACTCATGTTCACCGTGTTACGGGGATGTAATTAGAATATTACGTTTTAATTGCTTCAAATTATCTAATATACATAAAATTCGTACTAGAACACAGTTTCACGCATAAAGAAGTATACGCAATCTCATGTCCATAATAATGTCAGAGTGTTATAATCAAACTTTAGAGGAGACACGACGAATCAAACGTAATATGACTGCCATTGAAAGCAAATGATTAAATGAATGATGAATGAATTGTAATGTAGTTATAATGTAGTTTCTACTTATTGTCTTGTATGAAAAAAAAGACTTGACTGTACTAACACCTTGTCATTTTATTAATATGCATTTCCCTGGACTTCATATGTAAATAAACCTTATTCTCTTCGCCGTAAAGTTCTTGATTCATTGCCATAGATTCTCATATACTCCTTGATCTGTAAAAACACTGATTGTTCATCATTATTGTTATATATGTATTAGCAAAGTAAATGTATACATCTGTCATGTATATTGTTGTTTTGTTATGTAACATGTTGTGTTTTCAGATGGCTGGCTCATCAGTTTGCAAGAAATCTATCGAGTCTCAAACAGTGTCTTGAGCTGTAATCTTTATTTAATATCTTTTAATTTATTTTATTTGGTATCATAAGTTTTTAACAATAGAATATCAGTAAATTTTTCTTAATGTTGGTAACACATTCATTCTTATCTATTTTGCTCATGATAAAAATTATAACTCAATCAGTTTAGTATAACATTCAGTGTAATTGTAATTAGTGGCCTAAAATTATTGTTGTATTTGTCCTTTAAAATTGTGTTATATATTAGCATATCCATTTGTTTAGATCTATTTTTCACTTTATATATTATATTTTTTTTAATATAAAATGGCTTCGAGTGACCCAGAACTTAGGGATGGGATTACCCTACCAGTTTGGATGAAGACTAAACCAGTCAAGTAAGTATATGTTCATTCTTTTTTTAATTTTATTATGTGAAAACATTGCATGTCTTAATTACACAATGTTTTTAAGTTTCACATAGGTAAAATAAAATATACACATTAAAACACACAGTAAATTGTGTATTTTGAGTTCCAGATTTTTAGTTAGAAATAATAAAATCATGAATATAACCATAAAGGCTTGACTCTGGCTAGATCGGCTGAGGGAGAGCCATAAACAAGAAATAAATAGATAGTCATGTTTTCTATTTAAGCACATAACCATAGTATTAATTATTTTCTAGAAAAATTAAGATATGAGATATAAGGGCCATGGGTGCCCCATACACTTCAAAATTGTATACTTGTAGAAGGTCAACTACTTAACTTGAAGCAATGTTGTGTGTAGATAGTTTGAATAGCTGAATTATTTGAAAGTAAATGTAAAGTTCAGCCTTGAAACTCGCCCTTTGCCATGTTAATTCAATTTCTTGGCATTGTTGTGTTGTGTTATATTGTGAAAGTGCCAAAACTTTACCGTATTTCATATTGTTTTGCAACATATATTATCTGACGTTTTAATAGAACAGTACAAATAGTAAATATACATTAGAAGAATGGTTATTCTATTTTAATAAACACAAAATTAATGTCTATTTGATGAAGATAAAGTTGTATACTGTCCTAAAAAGGGCCTATGACCATATAAATTTGTCAATATCTTCAAAAAATACATGGGGAAAGTAACTTACGAAATTGTTGCATTCTGTACAAGTCTTTTATTATAGACTGTATTTGCTTTCATATTTTATTGTGGTGACTTTGTAAGGATGACTATTATTAGCTTTTTATCTTTTAATAAATTTATATCTTTCTTGATTGTATTGATATTGAAAAATTACACTCATAACGTCATCGGCGATCAATCTGCTGAGATACGTAACTTACCGACAATCGCTCAATCACGTTATTAGACCGTGACTCCCCACTGCACGAGGTAAACAGAAACTATATACATATACTTATACTATAGTAAATAAATAAATGTATCATTTGTTTAGTATGAGTTACTATATGTTTGTATTAACTTGTTATTTTACTTTAGTATTGTTTGTCATTGAAATATGCAATGTTAATAAACTATTAGATTACAAAACATCAGTGACGAAATAAACATTAATCCATTTAATATAATCTGATAGGGAGATTGTATTAATTAACACGTGCGAAGGAGTAGCATTTTTATATTAAATCCACGTGATTTGTTCGGATTTAATTAAGATGTATTTTTCATTGTAATGGAAACGTGAGCATAAGATCACGTTTTGAAAACATATGATTGTTGTATTTTCTTCTTCATGGACCCCCCATTGGGGTCTTTTGGTATAGTTCTTTTGAAATATCTTGTCGGCCCAACATCACAGGCGCGCTGCGCACTCCCCTTCTCCCCATCTTCCGTATTTCGCTACGTCTCGCTACACATAACATTGTGTTCTGCGGAGCAACCGCACAAAGTTACAGATATTAGAGTATTTGAATAGTAATATGTTTTAAATCGACTATGTTATACGAGATTTAAGGCATGGCTGATGTACTGTACAAGATTTTATATAACCGTTTTCTGTGGCCTACTAACTTATACTGAGTTAGTCTGCAGTTAGCATAAAATGTGTCGACATTTCTCCTATATCTGTTGCTGACAAACTTGTACATATATTTATATGATTCTGTTACAATTGGCCAAACAATTAGACTAAAGACCGCCGTACACAGACCTAAAGCAGTGTATACAGTGTAGCATGACTATGTTTTACTATTATGCAAACTATTTTATAGATATACAAATTTATTATCTATTATCTTATCAAATAAGATTATGGCTTTGATTTTGACATGGAACTTTCTACGCTTCAATACAATCGAATGAGATTTGCCTTAGAAGTGTTTCAAGAAAATACATAAGTAGTTGTGTGGTTGTGTTTTTCTTTGTTTTTATTTTGTGTTTTTAAAATGAATTCATGTACGGAAACATGTACTTGCGAGAATATACAGTCACAGGTAGATTGGTAAGATATTTAGAATATTTTGAATAGTAGAGTTATACGTAGTCATTAAATATGTTGCAATAGTTGGTTGTGATCGTTTATATTATGTGGCATGTTTAAGTAAAATGAATACTTCCAATTTTAAAAACATTAGGTTCAAGGACTATGCATTGTCGCAACTGCGTTGCGTAACCTTATTCGTGTGATTCCTTTCTGTCAGAACTTAGAACAAAATAACTGGCGAGTGACAACTCACTAAAGAGAAAAAAATGGTCGTATTATACTATTTCCTAATTTTTTAATTTTCTTTGATAGCAACTGCTATCTAGAAACGTAAGAATTACATAGAGCTGATTTATAATAAAAAACAATGCTATCAGGCTTTGTTATTTATATTTAATCTCGATAACAAGTGTATTGATAAAATATGAGTGATTGCCAATATAACTAACTAGTCATAAAATAAAGAGAAATCATTCATTTAATGTTTGCTAAATTCGGCTGTTATTCTGACAATATTAAACCAAAATAACGGCGACGAAGTGAAGGCAAGGAAAATGATTGAGTTTTCCATATTGCTTCAAACGTTTTTGTGCTTTGACAGTAATTAATTTTAAGTAAACCCGATATCAGAGCACGTAATGGGTAGATTTTTGGTGTTTTACAGGTTTCATTATCCAGAACTTACAATGTAATCACGTGAACTAATTTCCCCTTTTCCTGTAATCGACTCTACCTCCAAATGATAATTATCTATAGACAAATAAAATGTAGAATATATTCGAGATTTTAAGATTTCAGTTCTTTTCAGAAGTTCAGGTAGCTTAAAATGACGTCGCTGTCAAATAAGGGAAAAAAATCCGATATTTCTATCACATATTTTACACGTTCGATTGTTATCAGACAATTTACAATTTGGTAGGACAGGCCCTAAAGCAGCAAAAGGATTATGTGACTTTAATGTTATGTTTCGTCATTAATTTGTTTTTATCGATGTTATTCGCACCGTGCGACATGCGATAATCGAAATGTAAATATTATTTGTTACGTAGAGATTACGAGCTGCTTACCCTCTCCCACCCACGTCTTGTTATCGCTCTTTGTTTAATCAAACGCTATTTTAGTATGGAGTTGATTAATATTGTTACTATGTAATGAAACATATACAAGTTTGTAGATAAATTAAAGTTTCTTCTTCCTTTCCGTTCTCCCTTTGTCAAAGTTACAGATGAATTTATAAAATTGCAATGTAGCAGATTTCTAGCAGACTTTGTCGACCTCTCTCAATAAGTAACCCCGAATTTCAAAGACGTGAGAGAAATTCTACTGCTTGTGTAATGTAAGGAATTGTTCTATTGTTTTTACATACCGATTTAGTTTACATAGCACGAGTTACAGAAGGCTACATTGTTCGCATATTACCAAGTCTTACTTAAGTTCTTACTTACTCAGATAATCATCATACGTAACTTTTCTTTTAAGACTAACTACTAACTTGATTCTAAAATCGGCTATCATTCTCTCTACATTTAAATTTTCGCCTTTTTGTTAATTCCTAAAAAAAAAAAAGAATAATTGTAATATGTTACATGTATGTAAATCGACTACCATTAATCCGATAGTCGTTTCGGTGCATGGGCTAATAGCTAAGAGCTTTGACCAACATCTGAAGAAGCTCTCGCTAGACAGTTGGATTAAGGGTCACATTCAAAAGGCAGTTATTTTAGAAACCGTACGCATTGTGAGGAGGTTCCTGTCTCTGCCCTGACTACTGGTTGTTTGAGTCATCGGATTCTGAAGCCGGTGGTGCTCTATTTTTTATATTATATGTTTTATTTTGTCTTTTATACTAAGTATGTAAAATATATTATATACAAAATAAGGAATAAAGTTATATGAGAAATATTAATATATAAATGACTCAAATTGCTCATTTTCTGTAATGTCAAATAAAGGTAATTGCACTAGTATTCTTGACATGTCTCTCACATTATCGTCCGTATAAAAATACCTAATGTAGTGCTACGACTTCATCGTGACTAGCGTTATTTGCATTTTAAATGTGGTTTACATAACAATGTATAAAGAAAAGGAAGATATAAATAATAGATACCTATGTGTTCGACCTTCGTTTATGGAAGACAAACAATCTTTTTAAAAAAAATAACTAAGACTTATAAGATTTCCAGAGCGAAATTGTAGTTTTCCAAACCACATTACAGGGAAATTTATAGTTTGTAATTATACTAAAACCTATTCTATAATCATTCTAATACCCCTTATTTCTTTGGACAGAGACTTAAATTATTTCAATTGATTATCATATATATTCATTGCATGCACATTTTTGTTATTTGCGATTACTATGAAAGCATTTGCGCCGAGCTTGCCAAAACGTGGGTAATTTTAGCTAACATTCTCCGCACAAGAGACACTAACAATCATAGCGCATGTTGCATTTAACGAAAGTTTTACAAAGGATATACTCTCACCTTGAGAGTATAAAAGTGTGGACCAGTTTTGTGCGGCTCCTCGTTGTCTTTGACCTTTGCTGACGTGTTTTGCTTCGGTCATGCGCTACCAGCCGGGGGCTGGGCTCGTGCCACAATCTCATTGGTGAACGTCCGATGACGTCATCACGTGTTATTTTCAAACACTATTTCGCAGCTCGCTTGTAATGTTATCCTGATAAGATTTAACAGCATTATAACTTTATCTGTGTCGTATAAAAGGCAACCGCGCCTATTATACGTTTTCAGTTCGCGAAAACAGTTTGCAAGTAACGCCATCTTATTGCCACTTGTATTACATTCGGTATTAACTAGTCGGTTCAGTTTTTGCTAACTTCAAAGTCATACAATGTTAAAACGAAGGAACATTTTACTCCAATGCAATAATTTATTCTCGTAAGTTTTTGTATAGCAACTAAATTGATTTCTTTAATCCACTTTAGTTACGTGTGTGATAACGCGATATTTTTCATTCTCGAATTTGATGTGATAAAGATTGTAGGTTGTGATTCTCTTTGTTGTCAAAACCTAGTAATTTTACCATATTCAAAAACATTGAATTTTGTTCTCAGGGAGTTCGAACCGTTCGCGGCTTCCCCTCCGGCACCCGAAGATTCTTTCTTCTACATACGATACCCTAAAACAGATGTCTTGTTCGGCAAACCGAAGGTCGGAGATATTCCGAAGTTGATGAACGAACAACAGAAAGATCAAGCGGTGAAGGCTGCATACAATACTATCAAAGAGCAGGACTGGTCCAAGCACACCAAGCCTTGCCAAGACGTTTTGCACGGGATTGCACCTATTAATAAACCAGGTAACATCACTATTTATTACATTGTAAATGTTTTTAAACGAAGAACTAGTGTTGATTTAAAATAATTTCTTTACATGAGAGAATGAACGCGTAAAGTCGAAACTATTATTGGTTTATTATGAAAATTATATTTTTAATTTGTTACAATCTTTATAATCATACGTTTAGCCTTCTAATAAGATATATTTAACTAAGGAAAGTAATGTAGTCCGTTATTTTTTATGAAGATAAAATTTGAAAGCAATTTGTCTAAAAACTATCTCTGTGTTATATTTGCACATTATCTTTATAGATAAAAATCTTAATACTAACAAAAATACTGTTATCGAGGAAGAGGTCATCTGTGTTTTGTCATTACTTGCTTCAATATCAAAATGTATAAGATTTAATAATCTTTTAAATGTTATTTTCAATGATTTTGCTTATATTTGCGAACTGATGCAATAGACAAAATTTGTCATTTAGTTCTGACTTCGTTTCCAATACATTTCATTTTAATTATTTGCGTGACTTTATATTTCCTGATTTTTTTTTCTTATTAACATTTATTATTATTATAATAATCACTAGCGGAATGTTTATTAATTTATTCATAGGCACATGTTGATTATTTAGCTGTCAACTAAAATTTTCCATGTAAACACTTTGTAACTAGTTTTGTTTATTGTACACCAATACTGGTTTTATTGTTTTGCAAGACGTAATGTAAAGAAAGGCATGCAAAAATGTAGTGTAAAGACATCTCTTTTATTTAATTCTCAAATTAAAAAAAAAATCTTTGATAGGTTATGATTTTAATATATTTCAATAAACGAGGCTTGGAATCAAACTGGTATACCGCGGCGCTAAAGATCTGTCTCAATTCGTTGATTGCAGATTTCTGATTTAACTCTTGTAATGGTGGGATAATTGGTTTAAACCTAGCAGTAATGATGCTGAAGCCGTTTATTATTTTCTACTGGTGATGAGCGGCACATTCTAGCTCTGTCCAGTCTCAAACTGGATATTAGCAATTCGACTGCACACAAGGAAGTTGCCGATTACTCATTCTAAAGTTGAGAATGAATTTCTCCGTAATTACATGACATCATTCCCCTTCTACTAAAAGATATTTGAAAAGCAGTTCGCGTTGGCTGTATTTTATATTGTAATTTTTCGTATATTGGCAACACTCAAGTGTCGACGGAACTGATCAACGTATCAGCCGGCCTACTTACAAACAGGTTTTGCGTCTTTTATATCAAACGTCATTTTACGTCTCGTTCTAGTGTTGCAGTTGTTTGTAACGCAGGTTCATTGATAAAAGGGAGACCTTGTTGCCAATACTGAGCCTTTTAGTAGTTCTGTGTGAACGTTGTGAAGACTTGTATTTGTTGTTCTTTAAACAAAGAATTAAAAAAATACTCGTCAGATTCACATTTCGAATCTGTGCCGTGTCCAAGGACTGTTTTGTTTTTGTAAGTTGTATTTATTTATTTCTTATACCATTAGTTATTGAAGTCCCTTTATTTTAAAACCACATCATTTTTTTAACCAAACAAGGAGCTATACCTATGGTTTACAAATTTTACTTTATGTGATACAAAAGTTAACCTATGTTGGCGCTAGGCCATCTCTTAGTCTACCGAAATTAGCTGTCTGTTTATGCCTTAAACCGCTTCTGAAAGAAACAAAAGCTCTTAATGTCTTCTTTTCTTGTCTTCACTATGTTTTGTGGTCTTTATTTTCACGAAACCATAGCACAGTATAGCCACTTCATTATCCATACTGTTTATTACAAATAAACAGGGAAGATAAATTATTAATTTTGAATGTCAATGTATTTTAGATGTATTTAACCTTTTTCTCGACTTTATAAAGTTTAAAGTGGTTTCTAACTCGATCTAGTGTATTCAAGGTCTTTAATGCTATGCCTTTCATTTCCCCGTTTTTGTTCTAGATTAACGGTTCTTTATATTAGAAAAAAGTACATTATTAATGTTTGTAAAAACACACTCCTATGAAGAAATATTTTACGCCACTAAGTCATGTTCAATACTAGCATAAGTATAGATTATAATAATCTTTGAACTATCTGTTGTTGTTATAGAGGAGACTTAGCGGTGCGAGAGCTTGTGAAATTTGTTATTTATTAAGATTGATGTTAACTAGAGCGTATCTTACCGTTATAGGTTAAATCACTACAAAGTCATGTTTTTGGTTTCGTTTTAAAAACCTGGGAGCCAGATAATTTCGTAGTTCCCGATTCCAACTCGCTTAGCAATTTGAATTTAACCTTTATGCATTAGTGTAAATTAAACTGCCGATACCTTTAGGTAGATAATGATCGTTTTATTAAAGACTAGCTTTCGCTCGCGAGTCCATCCGCGTGGAATTAAAAAACTAAAGTGAGTAGCATATGTGTTCTTCCAGAATATCATCTACATCTATGCCAATTTTCTCTCTAACAAACATTCATCCATCCATATAAACTTTCGCATTTATAATAATAGTAAGATATATTTTTTTAATTTTCAATTCTATATGTTTGCAGTGGACTCGAAGCCGACGTCAGCGGGTACTGAGGATGGGTTTAAAGGCGAGGGCGCGGCGTGCGGCAACTCCGTCGTCAAGGTCAGTGCACACAACACCCGGAAAGTCAATACGATCTTTATAATGGTGACGTCACGACACGATCAGTTGCTCTTACTATCTGTATCCAATTTTTTATAGCTCATGAGAGAATTTTCGCTTCTATCGTTTGTCCAGTCTTCATTGTATACCGCTTCTTTGACTTAAAATGTTGAAGTATCAGAGATTAGTAATCTTCCAAGACAATTTTTATTGATACAAGTTTCACTATAATTAACTTATTGGGCAGCATGTTGTTTTAAAAAGTATAGCAAAAACAGAATTAATTCTACAGACTATGACTCATATTGATACTTTTTAAATTTTTGCATCTTACCTACTTATGTGACGTAATTAGCACAGTATGTGACTTCGAAACTTCTACGTTCGCAAACTTTCAAACTTTCCCTCATAACTTTCAAACTACCTTTTATTATTTGATACGCTCAGCTAGAGGCACATAAACAGAAGTATTGATGATAGTTTATTACGTAGATTCTAAGAACTATAAGGTTCGTTAATGATTAATTAAGCACGTATAACTAATCACAATAAGTATTTAAGCGTCATTAGTGAATGTACTGGTAATAATTCAAATATATGACATGATAACTTGAAAAGGTCAAACTTATCTTTATTAGTATTCAGTATATTATATTGCATCATGCAATTGATTAAAGGAGATATATTTAAAATTAACCATTAATTAAATGTAATTAAAGTTATAAATTCAAATGTACTTTTTTTAAATTACTAATAAAGTAATTTGTTTTAATCCATAATTAAATGATTAATGTTTAAAGCGGACAAAGTTCATTACGTTCCAAATGCTACGGTTAATGATAGATGACCTAGATAGAACGGTGTGGTCCGTACCGATAATAGAATTACTGTATTCGATCTATACTATAATCTTCAAACTAATATTATAAATGCGAAAGTTTAGATGGATGGATGTTTGTTAGAGTTTGTAGCCTAAACGGCTGAACAGATTAGATGAAATTTGGCATAGACGTAGAACATAGTCTAGAAGAACACATAGGCTACTTGCTTTTGTTTTTTTTTATTTCACGCGGACGGAGTCGCGGGCAAAAGCTAGTCATATAATAATTTCTAGAAGAGTCATTTTCACTTTCAAAAACCTTTTAAGACAATGTAACTCGTGTCTTAACAGAAGGTAAATAACCCTTCACTCACGAGATGAGAAAATGGAAATTTCCAGATTTTTTTAATAAAATGAAGTTTAGCTGTAATTCTTATGTTTATTATTTCTTACAAATATTAGAGCTGTCCACAAACAATATTGTATACTGTAAATTGTTAAATACAACCCTCATTTGTTCGATTACAAAGAAGTCTTAAAATGTCGGATTTGTTAAGAATAAATAACACACACGTCCACCACATGTATATATTGATGAAAATAAAGACCATTACATTACAAGATCACAATTGATCAATCACTGTCTCCCATCAATTCATATAGAAAATGTGTTCGTGTTTTGGATTGAAGCCAGTTGTAAGGTTTAATGCCTGGTTCACACTAGGCTGCAGACTGCAGACTCGCTGACGTTAGTATTTATATATAAGTTGAATCCCAATTATGTGTTTGAGCGTTGTTAAACTATACTAGCTGTTCCCGTGCGGATTCAGCCGCACGATATTATAAAAACTGTATTTTATTGTTTAAATTTTGTAAAACTTTATATAGCAAATGTCAAAATTCCAAAGATTTAATAACAACGAAGACTTTTGTCGTTTGCTGAAAATTATTACTTGCTTCTTTGCTGCTATTGACATCATTGTATTTTCATCCCTTTCCCCCATGTCGTTTTTTTAAATTATTTACTCCCTAAGTTCAATAGCGTGAAAATATATTGCCTAAAGCTTGTCATAGGTGAAGGGTTTTTATTAAAGAAATAGTCAAAAATATGCTGTAATTGATAACATCCTAGATAACTAAGACGTCTGTGTTTATGCTTTGTCGTTAGTATGGATTTTCCGAATGTCAACCAGGCAATACTATTCTATTGCAGGTGGCGCATCAGATGATCCAGTCGAATCGTTCGCCGCGCGGTTTCACTGTCGCTTCGCCGACGGAGGAGGAGGCTGCGCCCT